ATAAAAATCATCAAAAAGTTTTGATTTTCGAAACGACCCGCAATTTGAGAAAAAACGTGATGTAACCCCTTGCCATTTTGCCGATTTGGGCCAAAATTTAGATTTTCATTTTTTTGATGCCAATCGATAGTACCGATCCTTACGAGTCCAAAATGGTATAAAATTCCCAAATCGGACATTATTTGGCCGAGAATTCCAAAAAATCATGAAAAAAGGTTGACTTTACAAACGAATCGGTTTTTGGTCAACAACTTTTTTTAACCCATCGATTTTAAAAATGTTTGAATACAGATTGATAGTAGGGATCCCTACGAATTCAAAAAGGCATAACATATCAGAATCGGACAGTATTTACCTGAGATATTCAATAAAAATCATCAAAAAAGTTTTGATTTTCGAACCGACCCGGAATTTGAGAAAAAACATGATGTAACCCCTTGCCATTTTGCCGATTTGGGCCAAAATTTAGATTTTCATTTTTTTGATGCCAATCGATAGTACTGATCCTTACGAGTCCAAAATGGTATAAAATTCCCAAATCGGACATTATTTGGCCGAGATATTCCAAAAAACCATGAAAAAAGGTTGACTTTACAAACGAATCGGTTTTTGGTCAACAACTTTTTTTAACCCATCGATTTTAAAAATGTTTGAATGCAGATTGATAGTAGGGATCCCAACGAATTCAAAAAGGCATAACATATCAGAATCGGACAGTATTTACCCGATATATTCAATAAAAATCATCAAAAAAGTTTTGATTTTCGAAACGACCCGCAATTTGAGAAAAAACGTGATGTAACCCCTTGCCATTTTGCCGATTTGGGCCAAAATTTAGATTTTCATTTTTTTGATGCCAATCGATAGTACTGATTCTTACGAGTCCAAAATGGTATAAAATTCCCTAATCGGACATTATTTCGCCGAGATATTCCAAAAAATCATGAAAAAAGGTTGACTTTACAAACGAATCGGTTTTTGGTCAACAACTTTTTTTAACCCATCGATTTTAAAAATGTTTGAATGCAGATTGATAGTAGGGATCCCTACGAATTCAAAAAGGCATAACATATCAGAATCGGACAGTATTTACCCGATATATTCAATAAAAATCATCAAAAAAGTTTTGATTTTCGAAACGACCCGGAATTTGAGAAAAAACATGATGTAACCCCTTGCCATTTTGGCGATTTGGGCCAAAATTTAGATTTTCATTTTTTTGATGCCAATCGATAGTACTGATCCTTACGAGTCCAAAATGGTATAAAATTCCCAAATCGGACATTATTTGGCCGAGAATTCCAAAAAATCATGAAAAAAGGTTGACTTTACAAACGAATCGGTTTTTGGTCAACAACTTTTTTTAACCCATCGATTTTAAAAATGTTTGAATGCAGATTGATAGTAGGGATCCCTACGAATTCAAAAAGGCATAACATATCAGAATCGGACAGTATTTACCCGATATATTCAATAAAAATCATCAAAAAAGTTTTGATTTTCGAAACGACCCGGAATTTGAGAAAAAACATGATGTAACCCCTTGCCATTTTGGCGATTTGGGCCAAAATTTAGATTTTTATTGTTTTGATGCCAATCGATAGTACTGATCCTTACGAGTCCAAAATGGTATAAAATTCCCAAATCGGACATTATTTGGCCGAGATATTCCAAAAAATCATGAAAAAAGGTTGACTTTACAAACGAATCGGTTTTTGTCAACAACTTTTTTTAACCCATCGATTTTAAAAATGTTTGAATGCAGATTGATAGTAGGGATCCCTACGAATTCAAAAAGGCATAACATATCAGAATCGGACAGTATTTACCCGAGATATTCAATAAAAATCATCAAAAAAGTTTTGATTTTCGAACCGACCCGGAATTTGAGAAAAAACATGATGTAACCCCTTGCCATTTTGCCGATTTGGGCCAAAATTTAGATTTTCATTTTTTGATGCCAATCGATAGTACTGATCCTTACGAGTCCAAAATGGTATAAAATTCCCAAATCGGACATTATTTGGCCGAGATATTCCAAAAAATCATGAAAAAAAGTTGACTTTACAAACGAATCGGTTTTTGGTCAACAACTTTTTTTAACCCATCGATTTTAAAAATGTTTGAATACAGATTGATAGTAGGGATCCCTACGAATTCAAAAAGGCATAACATATCAGAATCAGACATTATTTACCCGAGATATTCAATAAAAATCATAAAAAAAGTTTTGATTTTCGAACCGACCCGGAATTTGAGAAAAAACATGATGTAACCCCTTGCCATTTTGCCGATTTGGGCCAAAATTTAGATTTTCATTTTTTGCCAATCGATAGTACTGATCCTTACGAACCGACCCGGAATTTGAGAAAAAACATGATGTAACCCCTTGCCATTTTGGCGATTTGGGCCAAAATTTAGATTTTTATTGTTTTGATGCCAATCGATAGTACTGATCCTTACGAGTCCAAAATGGTATAAAATTCCCAAATCGGACATTATTTGGCCGAGATATTCCAAAAAATCATGAAAAAAGGTTGACTTTACAAACGAATCGGTTTTTGTCAACAACTTTTTTTAACCCATCGATTTTAAAAATGTTTGAATGCAGATTGATAGTAGGGATCCCTACGAATTCAAAAAGGCATAACATATCAGAATCGGACAGTATTTACCCGAGATATTCAATAAAAATCATCAAAAAAGTTTTGATTTTCGAACCGACCTGGAATTTGAGAAAAAACATGATGTAACCCCTTGCCATTTTGCCGATTTGGGCCAAAATTTAGATTTTCACTTTTTTGATGCCAATCGATAGTACTGATCCTTACGAGTTCAAAATGGTATAAAATTCCCAAATCGGACATTATTTGGCCGAAATATTCCAAAAAATTATGAAAAAAGGTTGACTTTACCACTTTTTTTAATTCAAAAAGGTATAACATTTCTTAATCAGACAGTATTTACCCGAGATATTAAAAAAAAACTTTCAATAAATGTGTGATTTTCGAACCGACCCCGATGTTTAGAAAAAATGTGAGGTAACTCTTAATATTGAGTTTTTTAGCCGATCCAATGTTTAACATTAAAGTTTTATACAAACATTTTTCGCGCTTTTTCCACAATTTTGGGAGGATTTTCCCGAAACCTCGTCTGAGCGTGCACCTTCACCACATAAGATAATTACAGTGAAAATTTCAGCCTGCAAGCTTTTTACCTTTTACCGGCCTGTGGGTTGACCACCAAACAGACAAGTCTTATATATAGATATTATATCTGAACAATCAAATATTGTTCCGTGTCGCGCATTCAGTGATTGTTAATTTATTGAACATTAGTTTTAATTCGCACATTAGATTAATTTATGAGCTCCACTTTAAACTAAGTACTTTTTTTGCGATAATCGAATGTTTAAAATTAAGTTAAGATAAGACAAAATATTTATTTGAATCACTTTAAAACCAGAATTTTTATGAAACAATCAAACATAGATCAAAATACAGATATTTAAGCATTTTCTATTTAATTTTATTATATTTCATACTTATGTAACTACCTGGAATTTCATCTAAGTATTTTCTATTTAAGAATTGCCCAACTATCTATTTGGAATTTCATCTTTGTATATAAAGTGATTCACATAAATATATTTTCTAGGTGACATTTGATTGGCTGCAATAACTGCATTTAAAAGTACCGAGCTATAAACTTATGACGCAGATGCAATATAGGTGGATGGGCTGGGAACATAGACAGACATGCCGAGAATATTGTCATATATGTAGGTGCTATGTGCAGAAATACTATATATCTGATTTATAATCCTCACGAGTTCAAAATGATGACTACGATTAGATAAAGTTCTGTGGAATCGCACCCATTCAAGTGATCCCATGATAATTGGCCATATATCTAAGTATTTATTTACCAAGGGCTGTGATTGCTTTGTCGGTCGGACTTTATATAAATATATATATCTATATATTTTTCTCGGAACAAGAATCGAGTGGAACATAAAATTAGTTCGAGCATGTTTTTTGTGGCGTTTTTTAAACACTTTAGAAAATTTCTATAAAGTTGGTCTATGAAAATCTTAATTATGATCATATGATATGACTATATGACTTTATGATAGACCAAGAAAAAAAAGGACGAACTTTAATTAGCTTAGTGAAAATCCCTTTAAAATTGGACTATGAAGATCTTACTAATGATTATATGATATGGCTTATAGTAGGCTTAGTCGTAATCTTAATAGGTCTTGCATTGAGTAAAAGTTGTCTTAAATAAAGTCTTAGTCTAAGAAGAATTAAAGCTGGATTCTAGTTAAAGAATCTTTTTAAACTGGATTCGTTTGTGCCTTGTTTTAATAATGAGTAATATGAGGCTTAAGGTAAAACGAAAACAGTTTGTTTGAAGTTTTCAATGTTCTTCAAGAGTTATACTTAAAATGTATATAAGTTTATAGATTACACAGAGCAAAAAGAATGAACTTCACACTACAAAGATATGAATCAAGGTCGGGTCTACTAGATACTAAGTATAAGAAATACTTGAATTAGTTTATCTGTCTGCCTGTTTTAATTTCCCTTTTTTGTATGCATGAATAAGTCTTAAAGAATTTCGAATTTTTGATAAAGTAAAATTGAAAATCTCAAAGCAAATGCCTTCCGATTGACGACCACTCTATAGTATGTATATATACATATATATTTATCTAACTCATAATCAAATCATACAAAGCAGTTGGCAACTGTTCGATTTGAGCCACTTGTCAGGTTGGTTTCCATAATTTCCTCAGCTTTTATTGCATTATTGAACAGCGAAAGAACTCGAAGTCTTGGTACGAATAATTGGTTTTATCTCAAGTTATTTGCCTTCTACAAAAGACAATAAACTAGTTATGACTTTTGAATTGGTTTTGATTATGATCAGCTGATACCTTTGCCAAAATTCGAAGCAACAAGGTAAATTTTGAAGCTTGTAAAATGAATAAACTATTTTTGACAATTTTTGTTTTAATATAATTCCAGTTATTAATTTCTTCTTGAATTTCGTTACGAGTACAAATACAAATCACTTAGCGAAAAATAGGCATATATAATATATATATATAATACAAAGTAAACATTAGCAGAGCATCCGAATGGTCTAGAAGAGGCTCCTCAAGCCGAGGCCCAGCAGGAGCAGCAGCGCTGCCAAGGACATGCGCAGACTGGCGCTGCCATTACAGTTATCCGTTTGACAGACATCGCAGAGATCATTGACAGAGTTCTCAGGCAGGTCGACCTTATCACGCACCGCCTGGCAGCCGGATTGACCCTCGGGTATCCAAACACAGCCGCGCTGAATCTCTGTTGGAATAGAAGCAAATGAAAAATCACAAATGAGATACCCTGTTCGTAAAGTGTAACAAAAGGGTATATTGGTTTTTGTCCCATGTCCTTCTGGCTGTCTAACTAGAGTCTTTATGCTTCGGATATATACTAGCATATATATATTCAAATATATATATATATATATATATATATTCATATATATTCAGAGTTTTAAAGCGTTAAAGAGTTCAGAAATCAATCCTAAATATTGTTTTAATTTTTTTCAAGTGTCGCAGTTTGAAAGTAACTTTTACAGTTTTAAAGCTATTGTCAGCTAATTGCAGGGATAGAAGAATGCAGATCTAGAAAGTTTCCACAACAATTTTTGTCCATTAAATCTCAAATATGAATACTCAAACATGGTTACAGTTTAAAAGACACTGTCTTGGCGTTACAGTCTGAGAGTCACCAGAAGACAGCTGATGCTTATTGTTACGCAAAAAATATAAGAAAAATGTCTTAAACAAAGTATACAATACTTATTTAAAGAAATTATACGCTTGATATAACCAAACCATTTGTTTTTAAGATTGAGTAAGGAGCCCACAACTTTGGTATTAGATAATTTGGGATTCTTAAAATAAGAATTTTCATTCTTAGAGAAAGTAGAGCCATTTTAAGATTGAGTTTAAGAACTATTAAAAAAGTTATGTAAATGGGAATTTCAATCTCAAGGCTGTGGAATGATTTGAATAAAAAATTATTGAATTTTGATCTTGAAAGCTGATTTTAAACTTTAAATAGAGCATCGCGCAGTCGCAGTCGCACCCGACAGGAACCTCCTCGACCACTTTAACGCTACTCACCGCCATTCTTTTCGATGCTGTAGCAGGCCGTTGTACGGTAATCGGTGGCGCGTCCGTTGAGCTCGTAGGAGCGATAGTTGCGTATCAGCTGATCGGCTGCCTGGGCAGCCAGGGAGCGGCGAGCGCGACCGGAGCGTATACCACCAGGTAATGCCGCCTGTTGCAGGGCCATCTGAATATTCTCCAACTTGCCAGGATTTACGACACTTGGGCGTTCCGTTGTTGTCGTGCTCTCAGTTGGGATATCCGTGCTTTCCGATGGTTTTGCCGATGAGGATTCGGTTGGTTCACTGGATCCTGATGATGTGGATGTTGAAGTGATCTCGGAGGATCCTGTTGACGCTGCTGTTGAGGATTCTGTAGATCCCGATGAGGATGGTATGGAGGATTCGCTGGATCCTGATACCGTTGGCGTCGAGGTTTCTGTGGTGGAATCTGATGAAGAACCTGATGAGGAATCCGATGAAGAATCTGATGTGGAATCTGTTGTGGAACCTGATGAGGATTCCGATGTCGAATCCGTTGTGAAACCTGATGAGGATTCCGATGTGGAATCAGTTGTGGAACCTGATGAGGAATCCGATGTGGAATCCGTTGTGGAACCTGATGAGGAATCCGATGTGGAATCCGTTGTGGAATCCGATGTGGAATCCGTTGTGGAACCTGATGAGGAATCTGATGAGGAATCTGATGTGGAATCGGATGACGCTCCTGTTGTCGAGTCTGTAGTTTCGCTAGATTCTGATTCTGTGGTTCCTGTCGATTCTGATGGCTCTCCTGTTGTGGTTTCTGTGGATTCCGTGGATTCCGTGGTTTCTGTTGTCTCGGATGGCTCTCTTGTGGTTTCTGTGCTGGATTCTGATGCAGAATCTGTTGTGGAATCTGTTTGATCTGTCGTTGTTGGTGGCGACGACTCTGTGGCTGGCGGCTCCACTGTAGAACCTGGCGACGTTGTGGATCCTCCCGTCGAACTATCCGACGTACTCGTCGGCGTGTCCGGCAAACTCTCAGTCGTTGTATCTTCCGTTGTATCATCCGTCGTTAACGTGGATGTAGTCTCATCCAAATTGCAACTAACTACCTTCGAATCATCCAGTTCCTCGCACTCGGATCCGATGCATTGGTAGCACTTGAGCGCATTTGCTGTAAATATTTATAAAGTAACGTAGATAAAAATGTGTTTCATATAAAAAACGAACTCGTATCGGCAATTACACTGATTGATAAATCGAATGGAGAGGTGTGTGTTCTATGTGTAATGCAGTAAACTTACGATAACATTGCAAAGATTCTTTAGCTCGAATCTTTTACTTTGCGAACAAGCAGTCTGTAAAGCTTTACACTTAGAGAAAAACTACTCTCTGAGCTTTGATATGATTGGTCTTGAATATTCCTGAAGGAAGTCTGATTTTAAAGTTGACTGTCATTGTTACAAAAAAATTGAAAATATCTTAAGCAAAGTATGTAATACTTATTTTAAAAATATGCATGCTTGAAATAAGCATAAATATTCTTCTTAAGAGTATCGAACTACTTTAATTGAGTAAACAGGCCTTAAACTGGTTTTAGGTATTTTGGCATTCTTAAAGTAAGAATTTTTATTCTCAAAGAAAGTATAGCATTGTCAGTTAAACTGAGTTTAAGAACTATTGAAAAATGATTTGAGTACATAATACTTGAAGTTTTCGCTGAGTGTACTTGAAAAACTCACTGTTGCTCGCGCAGATGATGCAATAAAAATTATATAAAGAGTTGCTAAAAATTAAATCAATCTGAAAAAACTTGTTTATAGCTGGAAAATATGAACTTCGTTAATTGCAATTCATAAAAAAATCAAAAAAAGGCCTGTCGATAAGGTGTCCTGGTTCTTGAAAGACGATAATAATTCATGAGGCCGGAACATTTTTGCGGCATGCGTAATTTCGAATGTGAACTAATTACAATAATGGGCATGACCCTGGTCTGTTTTTTTTTTCTTTTAATTTTTTGTTCTTTTCTCTGAATTGAGTACAACATGCTGATAAGGTGTGTGTGTGTGTGTGTGTGTGCCCTGGTACAACTATCGTAGTTAGTTCATATGAAAAATACAGAAGACACTAAAGAAATGAAATCGATCGATCTGGAATTTTTATTTTTAATTTCATTTCTTCTTTTTTTTTCTTAACTTTGATTGATTGAAAGAGACATGTTGCACTTTTTTAAAGATTTTTTTTTGCTCTTATTTCTTAGTCAATTAATCAATTTTATTATTTATATAGGCTTGATTTATATTTTGATATAGTTTAATCATGCTTTTCACTTTTTTAACGAATATTGATGATTGCATAAATCTTAATTAATTAGTGCGCGTTTTGCGTGCGTTTTTAAACGCGCTCAAATCGTTGACTGCTCACCTGGCCAAATGGCAGCGCAGACGCACAAGCAAAATATGACGAGGATTATTGAACGCATTTTCGATTTGTTATGCCTAAAAGGATATTATGTTAAGGATCAGTTGAAATGCCCGCGAGATCGTTGGCTCGCGACAAGAACTGTAGACAACAGCACGGCTCGACTCTCGAATGCAAACTACCAATTAAATATATTGTTAACATGGCTTTTTTTATCACTTGGCACCGGGCCCGATACTCATGGGTTGGTCGGGTCGGGCCAATGGCACTGATAAGGCGCCACAGCACAGCGCCCCGTTGGCTGCTTTTGGCCACAGTCAATGCTCCACCAACCGACCAAATTAAGTCGACTTTTTATTACCCATTTCATTTCCTCTCTGTTTGCTGAAGGTAGAAATATTGTGCATGGCCAAAGAACTTTGCATCGAATGACCGAAAAAGCAGTAAGAAATCGCAAAGTTGCACATTTTTATTAGTCAAAAGTTTTTATATATTCATTTTTATTAGATACTTGTTGTCCTTTATATATTTGAATACCTGCAAGATGTTTGGGCAATCTGGTTTAATTCCGGTATTTATTTTACTGCGAATCGAACCTTGAACCATTTTAATACCTGCAGGACTATTTAGCGATAGTTAAGATCTGGTTCAATTCCGAAACTTACTTTTTCGTTACTGTTAACCGAATCTTTAGCAATAGTTAAGATCTGGTTGAATCCTGGTATTTCATTTTCTGTTACTGTGAACCGAACCATGAATCGAATCGGCTGGCTATAAGAACAGCTGAACCTGAACCTGAAACCTATCATTGAAAAAATGGAAATAAAAGTTATAAAACAGATATTAAAATATCTTAAAATAGTTTTGTTGCATTTCTTACCTTCAAATCAACGATGTTTTTTTTATTATTCTGAACCGAATCAGTTGGCAAAAAGCGTATCTGAACCTGAACCTGAAACGTATTATTGTAAAAAAGAAGGAAATGAAAGTTATAAAAAATGTATTAAAATATTTTAAAATAATTTTGTTAAATTTTTAACCTCCAACATTGCTCTAACAATGTTTTTTATTATTATTTGAATATTAAGAAATTAACTCATAAAAAAAAATTTGAGGCAGCAAGGACTTAACTCTTATTGAGAGGTTGAGTTTCCATTATCATATGTAAGCTTCGTCAAATGAATAAATAATAATATATATTTATGGTTTTATTTAATTTAACTAAAATCGTAATCGAATGAATTGTTATCAAGCTGAAATCGGTACACTCTAGGGAGCTTTCACTGTGGCTATTGTGTTTTAGGACCAGTTATAGACGTTGATAAAATCAACTCTGCTGCTGCTGCTGCTGCTGATAAGGAGATTGCGATTTGCAGGGGTTTTTTTATTTAGCTTTAGTGTTGCTTTTGCTATTGCTTTTAGAACGCACTTCCTCAGGATATGGTTCAATTGCCGTAGACCCCAATAAAAGTGTTTTGTGATAAGCAACAATTGAATGTGTGTAAACTGAAATTCTTTTAACTGGGCACTTGAAATGCTCATTCCGATGTCTGAAAGCGTCAGTCCGAGGGAATTTACTAGATCAGCCGCTGACTTAAATGCGTAACGCTTGAGTTGGCCCATAAATGCAATTCTCACTGAAATGTAGACTATAGAGCCGTGTAATGGAATCTAATCAGTTCTATCGATTTCTAAGGCATCTAAGCCCAAGGCTACAGTCGTTTTAAATGCCTAGATACTAAGTTGGCGAACGTTTATGGTTACGCCACAAATTGATAAACAAATGATAAAAGTATATATATATATAGATATATGTATATCTATATAGATATAGATATATATGTATATAGATACCAAAGACGCGCGTATCGGAATTGTTTTGCCAGTGCATTGTGAATATTTTGGCAAGAATTTTATTGCCGATGATTCACATATTTGGACAGCCGTTTAACAAATGGGCTTTGTCTGCTCAAAGTACACAAGCGAGCTCACAAATTGTTCCATATATTAGGCAAAAAACGTTTTAATAACGTAACATAAAATAAAATAAAAACTGGGTAAATGAAGGTAAATATTTGTCTCTGACATAAGAAGACATTTCCGTACTAAGAAAGCACATACTTTCTAATACTAGATTTATTTATACATTATCAGAGTCTTCTGTCGAGTTCTTTGAACTAAAACCCGATTTGTCAGCCCAGTTGATCTTGACTAAGAGATCTACAGTTCTGTGAGCTTAGCATGTGACATCACCTGTGCATTTTCAGGTAAAGTCCCTCGTTTAGCACAATCTAGAAGAATTATTTCTGCATTTATCATTGCGTAAAGTTAAGCAAATGATTTTATTTTAAGGTAAATATAGATAATTCAATTTGCTTAAAAGCAAAAAGTGGAATATAAGTTTTTAAGGGTTTGGTGATTTTTCTCTTAAAAATTGGTTGGATAACGTTTTGTTATCACATCTTAAAAGCATTCCCCTTTTAATAATACAAATAAATAAAATATAATGCGAAGCTTGTGATGCTTATTATAAAATATTAAATATAAAAATTAAAATATTAAAAAAAATGAAATTAAAAATTTAAAGAAATAAATCTAGGCTAAATTTATGGGTAAATCAGCTCACTTAGCATATGCATAGGCTTATTGCTGACATAAAAATATATAAAGAGGGTACTTAAAGCAATCTTATTCTAAATTTTAGATATCGGGAACTCCCAGATCATCTTAATTGTTTTCTTAGATATTATAAGATGTTTGCAAATGAAAGACTGTGCCGTGCGTAGCCCTAGTCTTTTGTATATATATAACTCATAAGTCACTCAGTTAGTTAGATATATATATAAATATATATTTTTGATCAGTCATTCATTCAACTCTTCACATATCCAACTGACTGACTTTTTTGAGTTAGCGTTTCAAGGAACTTGATTAGCCATTGAAAAGTACTTAGGTACCACCTATTAAAGTATCTTTCATTACCAAAACAAATCAAAACTTTTATGCTCAGACAAGATAGTTGAATATATGTAATGTAATGTCCACATTAAATACGAAAAATTTTCAAGTTATTAAAGAGCAGAAAAAGAAAATAATTGTAATGTATGTAGAGTCTTCTTTTGAGATTAGAATGGAAGTGATTGCTTCTTCTTTTTTATAATTACGGCTCAGTGTTCCTAACAACTAGTATGTAAATCTGCTTTGTAGCTGTTACGTACATTTTATGTAAATTAAATCTATACATCAATATCAATACATAACAATTATAGTTGAAGTAAGCACGAGCTTATTATTATGGAGCTGTATAACAGGTATTTTCTGAATCAAGTACGCCTCTCCAAAGCACACTTACAGATATAGTTTTGTAATTCACATAGGCCGAATTGCGTTCAAGTCGTTTTTTTTTTTTTGATTTCATTCAAGTCATAAGAAAATTAAAAGTCCACTCATTGCTAATGAGCGCCCCTTATCGAAGAGGAAGATAACGCATAATTAATGAAAACTTTCACTCACCCAGAACGGCTTATCACGGTCAGCACGTTTAAATTTTATATATATATAAAAGCTGCTTGTGAAGCACCATTCAGATGGAAATCATTATCAAATCTCGCCACTTAATGGGGTAAATATAAAAATAAAAAAAATAGCATTCGTGAAGGTCGCTTTTCGTGTCGTTGTGACACACATTTCTCTGGCCAATATATGCCTTATCTGGTCAGATATTTATTTTCAATATACGTCAGTTTTAGAGGTCAGGCTTTTATTTGGTTCTTCACTTGTTTTATCTGTAGAGCACTTCTGGGAACTTCGGTTATCAAATATTTCTGGACATATCTCTAATGTCTTTAGCTCCATGATATCCCTACTCATTCATGTATTTATATTTATGTGTATACATATATGTATATATCAGCATATGACCAATTGCCGCCTTAATTTATGGCTCTCCACTTCGTAGCATGATTTATGCCATGGTGCGCACACTTTTCGCATGCACTGTGCACAAATATAAAAAGAAGCACAAGTTTTTTTATAAATATATATATATTTTTTTTTGTTATTAATGAAATCTTATCTTATCTTATTGTTGGGAACTTGGTTCTCGTTGCTTTTGGCCGAACTGTGTTTGCCCTGGGCAAATTTACTTAGCATAGTTGGGCCTAAAAGTATGCCTCTTCCGGCTTGATTTGTTGGCACAATGCGGCGTATGCGCAATGGACGTAACATTGACCCAGAGGCTACATAGGCAAGCGCTACGAACCAGAACCAAGACCCAAATAATTATCGCTTGTCGTACAACTCTTGAGGACACAATGTATCGAGCTTTATCTGAATTTTTGATTTGTTGACTTCGTCAACAATTTTTGTTTTATTATTATACCTATCCACAGATCTAACTCTGCGTTAAATGTGTTATAAATAGACTTCTCTCAGCTATCAACTATCACATAAAGATTAACATACTTAGTTTGGATACGAAATTTATAACAAAAGTTTTCGGTTGTTCGGTTCACGGTTTGAACTGCCTTAAGGTTCGGTTCGTGAACCGGTTTTTGTTCATCTACGAACCCAGTTCTTGGTCCAAATATGTTTTCTCTCGATTTTGGTTCAGTTTACTTTTATTAAATATATTTTCAATTTATTATTTATCTTTAATTAGTTAACTTCTGATATTATAAGTTCAAAAACTAAAAAATGTTGGCATAACATTTTTTAAAATAAAAAAAAGAAGAAAAATGTTTTGAATAGATCCATTTTTTTAAATATATGTTTTGGTACTTGAATTCCGTATCCAAATAATTCGGCTTGGGCTTAAAGTCCTGGCATGAATACAGAATAGTTTATATTTCCCATGATTCTTTTTGGTTTTCACTGCATTTAAGAAATATTTAATCTATTCATTTTAATATTATTTGATACTATTTTTTCATAAAATCAAACACATGAAATCGGTTTAATTTAAAATAAAAAACTTCAAAAAAGTTTTCACATCTCGGAGAAGATCTTGAAAAATCGTTTAATGTATAAATAGTTTATTACATATCAATTAACTTGTCTTATGCTTCACATTTGGTTAGCTTTAGTTCATATTAAGTTATATATAGGCATATATGTATATATTTCGATATTCGCTTGTGAGTGTGTGTGTGTGTGTTTGTTTGTTTGTGTGTGTGTATGTGTCGCTTACAAATTACATAAAGTTTCGCTTGACTTAACAAATGAGAGCAGAGGCGCTTCAAGGGCGTAGGCAGGATTTTGATAAAGGGGCTTGTGTCTCTAGTGGGGGTAGGGGTGAGAGGGGGTTTCTATATTCAAGAAAAGTTTTTTACAAGCTCAATAGCTTTAAGTTCATAGGTGTAATTTCTTCAATAAAAGCAACCCCTGCCCCAGGTGCGCCCATGTAGAGCGCTTCAGTGACTATGTCTGTGTGTGTTTGTGTGTGTGTGTGTTTGTGTGTACCTTAAACAAATGAGCAATATGTACTAATTAACACCGGGCTGGAGTGGGCGACGGAAGGCGAATGGAGATGGAGAGCGGGGGGCGTGGCTGGTGTTCCACTCCTCAATTGCGCTGCAGGAGAGCAGCGACAAGGGCAAAGGCAAGTGTCGCCAGCAGCGTTGACTGGAACGTGGATGTGGCACCATTGCAGGCATTCATGCTGCACGGATCACAGTTGGCCAGCTTGGTTTCGTTGCTCTGGATCTGCAGCTCCTGGCAGACGGACTGCTCCGGCTCAACACGCGAGCAACCGCGAACCGTCTGCACCGTATTATTGACTGTGGATTGAAATGGGCGGAGTTTTGGTTAGTTTTTGAACCGGAACCGGATCCGTATCAGCTATACTCACCGGTCTTTTGCACCGTATAGCAGTGATAGCTGACGCTCGTGTCGATCAGAGCACGACGCTGGCGTATGGCCAGCTCTGTGGTTGTTGTGACAGCAGCTGAGTCGGCATCAGCTGAGCTAGGCAACAGCCGGGTGGTGTTCACCTGACGCAACAGATCCTCGGCCGGCGGCGTGGGCACGCCGGTTGTCGTCTCTGGTGGTCCCACTGTCGCCGGCGTTGGCATTGGCGCCTCTGTGCTCTCCGTGCTCTCGGTGTTCGTTTCGCTGGTCGAATCCGTCGACACGGTGCTGGTCACCGGATCGCTGGTGGTGCTATCCGTGGTGGTGTTTTCGGCTGTGACTGTGGTTTCGGTGCTGCTCGTCGGCGCCTCGTCGGTGGTGAAGACTGTCGTTGGGGTTGTGCTGGTCGTGGTCACGGTTGAGGCCTCGGTGCTGCCGCCCTGATTGAAGAAGTCCGCATTGCAGGCCAGCAGCGGCGTCTCCTTGGTCACCTTTTCGCAGTCATCGCACACATAGCACATCAGATCCGCCAAACAAGCTGCAAGTAAGTGGGGAGTATCGGATTAGAATTGAGGCTACAAATATGCCAGTTAAATAAACTCCAAGTTTGGAGTATAAGCCGCTCTCTAATTAGAGTTAAAGCAGCTGCTTATAGGGAATACCCCAGTCGTGGTCTATGAGCTACAAATTAAGCCTACTTTATGCGGTCTTAAGCAAATAATGAGCTCTATTCTAGCAGTTGAACAGGGTATTTTGTAGTCAATTAACATTTACGTATAACCTTGCGAATAGGTTTCAATTTGAACTTTATGAAACTGGGGTACGATTCCCTATATTTGACTTGAGTATGTCGGAGTCGGCCGGATCGATTGACTATATCATATGGCTTTTATAGAAACGATTGTTTTTCAAAATTGTTTCTCGGATATCTTATAGCATATTTTGGCATTTATAGGCTTTAGAATTCTTCTAACACATCTGCAAAACTCTTATCGAGGTCGGAGGTCTATATCATATATAGTTCCTAGTTTTATTTAACATGCCTTAAAGATTAAAGTAAATACTGCTGCGAGATCTAGAAGATCTATGCAAGAATCTAACCGTTTCCAGCATGGAATTCCAATGTATATTTTTTGAAGAACAGAATCTAAAACCAGACAAGATTTGTATTATTTTTTGTTTTATCTATTGAGTGTCAATAAAGGCTTATTTTACTCATGTTGAAAATATTCGTAGTTGAAGTGCATTAGTTTTGTTGTACATCATTCATCATTTTTTTTATGTTTTTTTTTTTTAACTTCCAAACACTGATATATATATATCATAAGGGTATCGTTAAAGCCCTATCTCTGGTTGGGTTCAAACAATTTACAGCTTTGGTAAATATGAACAACAAGCGAGCGATAAACGATTAACGATGACAAAGCGATCGTAACTCGACCATGTGCGGGCCATAAATCAAGGCAACGGGCTCGTAGACTTTGTTGACTTTGATATTTCTCGTATTATTTGCTCATTCTTTATTATTAGTTCAATGTTTGAACTAGAGCTATTATTGTGCCCTCCACTGGATCCGTCCAACCAAAACAGACGAGCTCCTCTGCCATGCAAATTACCAGCTACCTGTTGGCAATTTACGACAACAAATAAACAAATATTTGCACCGTGCAGAGAGCAAACTTATAGAGACATTCGCGTAATTGCGTCAATTGCCTTATCAGAGCAGAGTCAACGTGTAGAGAGCAGCGCTGGCGCAGGTGCCAGTTGCCAGTTGCCAGTTGCCCGGGCGGCGGATGACTCACGGGCGGACTCGCAATGGGCTGGGTTTAGCCCATGCTCATCCAAATGTCAGTCAAATTGTCTGCTTGCCGCTGATAAGCGTAACAAGTCGGCTGTTGGCGACTGCGCAATACTCTGTTTGAAAACAGCTGACAAACAATCTCTTGATATTTAGGTGGTTGACTCTAAAGCTGTAACTAAAACAAAGTCGTGACTTTCAAACTGTGACTATGGCAAAATATGGCTTAAGGTGATTTATTGGTTAAACGTGAATGAGCTGGGCTCTTTCAAGTAGATCAACATTGAACTACCTATTGGGTTTCCTGGCTTTGGCTTTAAAACTGTCAAAGTGACTTTCAAACTGTGACTTGGGAAAATCTTGTTCTTTTCTGATTTATGGGTACTTTTAGCTCCAAGCTTAAAGAGCCCATCAGTTAAGTTTCTGACAAATCCCTGAACTTGCGCTGCAAAACTGTGGAAACTTTCAAACTGTAAAATTTGGTTTTAGCTTTAAAACTATGGAAGATATAGATATACGAAATTCGACACTCAAAGTGTTCGCTGAGGAGAATTTCTACTGTATATATGGAATATATATTGCAATTAGCTAGGCTTTAGCGTCGCCAAAACTTGCGTTCATTTGCACAGACAGACTGCCAGCCAGCCAATATACCGTCTGGCACTGTCTGTAAACAGGGTATGGATATTGCTCATACGCCGCGTAGCCCATACAATTTTGTACACACATTTTTTCAGCGCAACGCTCCTGCTATGATATACGATATGGTCGAGTTCCGCGATTGTTGACTTAAAAATTATTAATAAATCACATTGATTGATGGACGACCGTCCGGTGGATAATGAGGGGGAGGAGCTGTAGCTCAAATATTTAAGTGGCTTTAGTGGCACGTGATAAGCAACGCGTACGGGAATTGGTTAAATTTGTGCTTGAACTTGAGTCTTGTCTCTTTTTTATTGTTTTTGTTTGTATAATTGTTTGCAATAAATAATAATTTTATCATTTGCCAACAATGAAATACAATTCATTTGCATTGTGCATCCATTCGACTCGTCCAAAAACCAGTTTCGTTAACAAAGACTTTGCTGAACTACGTTCTTAGGGCGCACTCTGTATTATACACTCAGAAAAAACGGGGTTCAAAATGGGAATTCTATAAGTTCTCTTCTTTCAAGAAATAATATTATAAAAACTTCAAACATGTTTTCGATTACGTAACCAAAGCTTAATATGAGAATTTACATGCTTAAAATAAGCATAAAAGCATCTTAATTTAAATGATTTTTGCTTAGATTAAGTCAAGTATTTGGATATTTGCAAACTGCTAAGAAAAGTTCTTAAATTAGAAAACCTGTTTTCAGCTTAGGAAGTTTTGAACTAGAAAGTACTGTTATTTTTCTCTGAGTGTAGACTTCCGCGAAGTTGCATATATGTTTTGCAACTCAAGTAAAGTGTATTAAAATTTTTCAATTAATATGCACGCGCTCAAAGTCTTAAACCGAACAGGCCTTATAATAATTATTACAAATGGACTGGAAATCTGACAGATCATTAAGAATTGTGCAGTCTTAGCGTTATATAATGAAAGTGTTTTCTTATTTATTGTAATATTTTTTTTAAATATTCTTTAATTAGGCAATTTGAAAAACACAAAAAAAAACATCTGCAAATGTTGGCCTTACGTAAATGCTTTACATTTTGCACTCAAATCAGGCGAGAATTTCAAGTTTTTTGATTTGGTGCTAAACGGCCGAGCAGGTTGTTGTTGTTCTTGTTGTTGTTGTTCTCGTTGTTGTTGTTCAAAATGTGCTAAACGACAGCTGTCATGTGTGCCATACATGTCTGTAAGTACGCGCCAAGCTAGCCAACTAAAACGCTTCGAATCGCAGCCTTTCAATTAGCAGTTGACGCAGTTTCAATGTCAATATCGAGACTAACAAACAAACAAAAAAATAGCTCGAATAATGCATTTCAAATGCACCAAAATTTCAGCTGCCTTTCGAAATCAGCTCAATATATATTGGAATATTTGTTATGCCTAACTTGGCACTGGAGTTGGGCACGTGTCGTGTTCGTGCTGAGCTCCGGATAAATGAACTATCTATTTATTTACATTAAAATGTTTTTAAGAAATTCTGGCTGTGATTAGGAGCTGGGCACGTGTCGTGTTTGTGCTGAGCTCTAATAATATATATTTATATCTCTAGTTTGAAATTGTTAAGGAAAATAATTTCAATTATTAGAAATATTTTCTAATTTGTTTTTGAGCACTTCGGACAAATAAACTATCTATCTATATATCTATATTGAAAGTGGTACGAAAATTAGTTATTACTTGAACTCCTGTAAAAAATATTTGAATCATTTGAAATATTTTTGTTCATTTTGTTGTAATATTGTTCGAAGTAATTGAAAGTTGGGCACGTGTCGTGCTCATCCAGAGCTCTGATAATATTAATTTATATGTCTAGAGATATTTTCCAATTTGTTTTTTTTGCACTTGGGGGTAATTTAGAGTACGCGTCGTCTATATTGAAATTGGTAAGAATAATAGATAATTCATTTATTTTACTGTGCTGCATACTTTAAAAAGTTAGTTAATAAATTTAATTTTTCTATTAGAATACCTTCTAAATATTTAATCCCTATTAAGTTATATATTTTTTTAAAGCAAAGGACCAGAATTGTATTTATCTTCTATCATCTAATTTTTTGTATTTTTCATAAATTTATTTAATAAATAAATAATTAAATAATCAAGCAAAGTTTAGGAATATTTAGCATGGTATTCACATTTGCAAATATTTAAAAATAATTCTTAACTTTGCACAAAATGCAGCTCCCTCTAGAAGTTCGCACTTCGTAGGAATATATATATGGATATATATATTATATATACACAAATAACATATAATTATCTCTATGCTAAAGCTTAATATGTCTGCTTTATGTCAACATTTCCGCATTTGTAAAAAAAAGGAATGTGAACGTAAAAATCCCGCCAACTATTTTCGCATTATTTATGACAATTTATAGAGAGAGGAAAAAATTGCAATTGTTCTCGACTGTGATTTTCAACCAGACAGTTTTTTTCTCCGTATACATTTTTTATAATTATAGTGTTTTTTCTTTTATTTGTGATTTGTTTAACGGGCACAAAAACGTTGCGAATGCAATAAATGTTAATGGGCAGAAATAAAATGAATTTGCATTTTAAATACGATTCTTTTGCTCGTTGAATATATATTTTTTCTCTCTTTTCATTCTGTTTGGCATTTCACAAGCGGCACACAAATTGTTTATAAATAGCAGCAAATAATTATTATTTTATCATATTATCGAAAAGGTAGTTTTTTTTTTATATACATTTCGTTCCGACTTTGCTGTTGGTGCTTAACAAATAGAATTCCAGCGATCCGACACGATCCACTTTTAATACGGGCGCATCAATCTTGTATCACAATTTTGGACACTCGGACTTAGCATAATATCTGACTTTTGAGATATCACTCGAATATCGGGTCTGACACATTTTGGGGCACCGAAACACCTGAACTCTTACCTGGCGCGACGAGCAGCCAAATGAGGGCGCTGAACAGAATTAAATTATTACCACGACGCATTGTGATTTTGTTTTTCTTTTTATCTGTCCTTATATTATTTTGAAAAAAAGCCGGATATTGTATGCTTGTTATAAATCTTTGCTCGCAAGATTTATGCAAAATAGATATATATTTATATATTTATTTCGTATTTTCAAACGCGACTTCACTTGCGACCGCAGTTTACGAATTCTGGAATTTAACTGAAAATCTTGTGATTTGTTTGAGACTTTTTATAGAGTTTTATAAGCGACTTGCGCAGCGACGGCTGCGACGCTCAAGAAAGAGACAGCTAGCTGGCGGGAGAGTCAGAGCGAGTGAGAGAGAGAGAGAGAGAGAGAGAGCTAACAATTGCTGCCGCGTGCGGTACGTTAATGCGTGTGTGTGCGTACATTATTTTATTGATAACAAATTAATTTATAATGCAAAACCCAAATTGCCAAAAAAGTACAAGTACAAAAAAACGAGCTTAAGAGAAACGCTTACTCGCTCTCCCGAACTCGTTGCCTGAGCTCTCTTTAGCTGCAGCTCTTTCCAGTTTCAAGATCGCAAACGTCAGCGCCCGTCAGGGAATTCTTATAATGAGACAGCGAAGCGGGCAGAAGATTTCCCGACTACGCAAATGATTCAATGCCTGGGTTTTTACAAAATCCCCCAGATGGGACTTTATATGATACACTCAGAGAAAAGCAGGCGCTCTAGATAATAAATGTAACTGGATAATATCTAAATAATTTATATTGGGAAGCCTTTCTTGGATTAACTAAACTATTTGAGTCTTGTATTTAGGAATTTTGATATTTAAAATATTGCTCTAGTCACAATTTTGTACTTGCTGTGAGTACAACATTTTTTCTTCCAGTGTACACTGCTTTAACGACTTGTTCGATACCTTATATGCTAACTTAGCGCTTAGTATAGGTAGTTAGCAAATTCTTTCTGAGATCAACGTCCACACCCCGATGCGACGCTCCTCTTTGGGGGTAAACATTTGTCATCCCCCGCGTACACTCACATTTACATAATATTCAAATATTGGTTTTGATGTTGATGTTTTGCGATTGTCGCATGATTAATATTACTCAATATTAAAAGCACGCAAAATCAACAAACTCGATTTCAATTCCCCTCAATTAACACAGCCTTTTATTTGGTATTTACCCGATCCATTTACACCTATTGTGCGACTTTGCAGCTGACCGCGATGTTGCGGCAGCAAGACGTTGATTTTGAGAATCGCCGAGAAGAGCTCGCACTGCACTGCTTAGGCAAAGGGAACAAAAACAAAAACTTTCCATTTGAACGCACAAAAAGGTTAACGGCATTCAATGTTAATGAAATGCGCAAAATGCCACAAGACTTTTGTTTGGGGCCATTTGATAAGCAAAGCCAAGGTCCCCGAAAATTAATTATTGGCCCGGAATAACCTTGAGAGTAAGAAGAAGTTGCAGGTTTATTGGACTAAAATGTATGAGACAGAGTTCTCTTACAGGGTATTGCACTTCTTTTCCAATAATAAACTTGACAAAAAGAAAGAAAACGAAAGTTTGGTAAACAGAATATTATTTCGGAGATATAACTGCAAGCAAAAAATCGAGATAAATCTTTCAGTTTTGGTTTGGAAAAGAATCACAAGAAAATGTTCTACAAATTTTGAAACAAATAAAAAATCTTCTAATTTCTTTGAAATTCTAAATATTCTGCATTACTCAATAATTAAATATGTATATATATTTTTATTTTGCCGCCCAGCCTGATTAATAAATTGATTAAGTTTTAACAAAATGATGTTGTGCTAAAAACTGAGAGCTGTATTTGATATGAATATAGTAAATAGACCAGAAATGGACAGTATGCATATATCATAGTTAGTTTGTCTGCGCTGGGTTAGGTTTGGCCCTGATTCTTTTGCTGGCACCGACTATATACTAGATCGTGCGTACTCGTACATTATGGTAGATATTGTGGACTCGTATGTGTATCATTCAACTGCGAGCGGTTCGTGCCAAATGGCTAGAAATCGTGTTTAGTGTCTGGCTGTTAACTGACGCATCAATATTTCAGAGCTCAGACGCAGACACACGGTCCGCAGATAACTGACAAAAAAAAAACATAAAACAAAAACAAATGAAAATAAAATCGGAAATTTGTGGTTTTCAATTGCTGGCGACATCACGTAAATCGCCAAAAAAAAAAAGAGGAAAGCAAAAAATATCTCACGCTGCTCTCAGAGAACTCTCTCAGCGCCCAGGTCAAAGTCGGCTTTTGTTAGCCTGCTGAGAACGCAATTGCGTGTGCGAGTTTTGGCGTAATACCAACTGGCCCGGAAGTTTTAAGCCTTACAAAAATAAAACAGGGAAGCAAACGGGCTGGGCCTGCCCGTCTTTGTATTCGCTTTATATATATCCCATATATATACACATATACTATATAATGCCATACGCGTTTTAAGCAGCCTCACAAATTTGGCAATTGCATTCGCAGCAAGTTAACATGCTTCAATCGAGTGCACGACTGGGGCATACCCTGTAGTCGACACGCCTTACATTAAGCTTCAACTGAGCTTCTTTTAAACACACTTTGCAAAATTGATACTTAAATAACTTTTAAATGGTATGAACATTTCAGAGCTTCAAGATAACATTTAGATGATGAACTATTCCTGACTAGACACTAGTAGACTAGAGACGACATACAATATTTGGTATCTCTAGCTCCTATAATCTCGGACATACGCTTACAAAGCCCAGGCTGACAATCGATATTTATCGATATTGATTAAAAAGAAGTTTTTATTTAAGTAAGTTTACATATTGAGCATATGATAGACGAGAACTTACAGAACACATTTTGTGTTCCCAACAATCATAATATCAGTGATAAGCTCAAATCGTAGGTGGAAACGGATAATTAACGACTTTGCTTAAAATTGGGCTAGTTATCGATTATAAAAACTTAATTTGCATATGGCATATCAAATTTTAACTTTAAGGGGGAGAGAGAGAGAAAAGAGCGAAAAAGAGAGGGAGAAAGAGAGAGACATAGAGAAATAGGATAAGAGAGAGCGAGAGAGAGGAGAGAGAGAGCGAGTGAGAGAGGCTGATTGATATGGATAGATTAATACAGCTTATCGTACTGATCAAGAATATACGTGTATGCTTTTTGGAGTTGAAGATGCTGTAAAGCTACATTATACCCAATTGCACTGGATACAGGGTATATTAGAAGCAAACAGCTGCTCGTTGGTAAGCACAAGTTGCCTTAAATGCGAATCCGTTAAGTTGACATCACATTTCCGCAGGCAAACGGAAGATTTGTTCATCACCTAATTGAGAACTCAGCGAAATTGTTTCGGTGTCTATCTGTCTGGTTGTAAATCGCTCAATTTGCCGGCAGCGATTGCCACTTGAGGCCTAATGCTATCAGTTGATCGGCGCTGATCATCAGTTATCAGCAATAGAAATGAAGTCAGACATAATTTCTGTGGGCCGACCGTTGTCATCGTTTAACATGGGGCTTATCAGCTGCTGTAATTGATTTGTCATTTGGTGAACTGTGAACGGGTAGCCCAAATGATTGGGCATTTTCCCCCTTTATCGCGTATCGCTTACCAATTGTACAATTAGGCAAAAATAGACCGGCCGCTCATCAGCTATGGCGCGTAATTAAGATCGAAATAGACCGCGTACTGGTTCATAAATCGCGGCAGGCAATAAACCACGCATATATATATAAATATATATATATATGTATATTTATTATTATAGATTAAATATAGCTGTTATCATTTACAGATCCACGCCGAAGACAACATGGCCAGCAGCGTCATAGCCAGCGCCGTGCGGCCTGATAAACGGCAGCTGCCGGAGCCGCTGCTCCATTGGCCCAGCACTACGGCATTTATGGGTGAATTGCAGCCATTCGATTCGCATAGATTGCAGTTAACCACATCCCAGCCATTAAACAGGGTATTGCAGGCGCCAGTCTGATTGTCAGCCGTGACAATGGTGCAGCCACGATTTGTTATTTCCGTGCCGTTGACTGCCCAGAACATAGAGTCCAAGTTCAAATAGTTAATGGAAAGAGAAAATTTTAGTTATAAAGAAATATTTATAAGCGTAATTAATATATTTATTATCATTTTATTTGTATGACTAGATGTAACACTCAATACAATGGTTTTTGATTAAATGCACGTTAAACACAAAACTTTTTCTTTTATTTAACATTCGAATTCAGTTATTCACCTATTTTCCGTTCGTGAACGTGAATTCGAAAAGCTTTAAGAATGATTGCGAAACTAATCGGCTTGGTCATATATTTTTTTTTTAATATATAAATAATTTAAATTATTTTTCTTTTATTTTGGGTAGTAAAACCAAGAGAAGACGCACACAAATGTTTTTCCCCTATTTTTCACCCCTGTTGGTGAAATTCTTAATACTCGTTGAGTCATACTGTGAAACATTTTGTTTAAATACTCTCAGTCAGCTGAAACAGTTTTTCATAAACAATTGCCCAGCGATAAAACGCAGGCATGTTCCGTCTTATATCGTCATGGAGTTATTTGTAAGGTCGATAATTAGGAACAAAGCTGTTTTGAGAATTTGGCTTATGCAAACTAAAGACTTAGTTTAGGTAAACAACTCGGAAAAAGCAATTGAATGAGACTTGCTAACAAGAGTAAAACTTTCTTAATGAAGGTAGTACATACTTGGGAATTTTGGGATTAATTAAAAATGTTTTCGGAAATGATTATATTGTTCTCAGCTTAAAGAAAAACTTTAAAAAAGATCTTTGAAAATGGGCAAATAGTTTGAAAAGGAAAGAAAAAAAATCTTTTTGTAGCATTCACAATTAAGGCTGTGCCTTGACCATCAATCATCAATCAGTCTTCAGTCAGTCTTTAATAAGTCTTCAATCAGTCTTCAATTCGTCTTCAATCCGTCTTTAAAAGGCATTTAATAAGTCTTTAATAAGTCCTCAATCAGTCTTCAATCAGTTTCAATCCGTCTTTAATCAGTCTTCAATTAGTCTTCACTCTTTAATAAGTCTTCAATCAGCCTTCAATCAGTCATTCAGTCTTATATAGATAGAGTTTTGGATATTTGCACTTACGTCTCAGACTCGCAATATAGCAAACGGCTCTCTGCGTGTCCTGGCTCTGGCGACTGACGCTGCGCCTGCGTCGCTCATCGTAATCCTCTTCATCCTCCTCGTCCTCGGCAGTTTCGCTGTCGCCACCAGCGGCTCCGGCTCCGGCTCCGGCTCCAACTCCGGCTCCGGCGGCTGGCACTGCAGCAGCAGCTGCAGCTGGTGCTTTTGCTGGAGCAGCAGCTGTGCCTGAGGCCGCATTCGTGCCTAATCCTACGCCTCCGCCTGCTGCCCCCGCTGCACCTGCTCCAGGCACATTGCTTGCAGCGGGCATAATGCCCAAAGTGGATGGTGCTGCAGATTCTTCCTCATCGCTCTCGTAATCCTCCTCAGTCTCACTTTCGGAACCGGGCTTGGGAGGAAACTGAGTTTGTCCTGGAGCGGGCGCATTAGCAGCTGCAGCCGGTGCGGGCGCATTGGCTGCCGGAGCTGGTGGCTTGGATGCAGGCGCTGGATTTGTGTTTGGACTCGGGCTCGATGCAGCTGGCAGGCCAGTTCCAGCCGGCGGCTGCTGCGAGTCCGTGAACGGCACACTGCATACTTCCAGCTCCGACAAATTGGAATGCTCATCGCAATCCTCGCATGTGTAGCAGCGCAGCGCTGTAAAACAGGAAGGGCTTATTTAAGAGGTGGCTTTCGAATCCATGTTGGACAATCAATTAGCTCCAGCCAGGTGGCAGCTGCACTCAGCTATGGCCTCCACGCACCTGAACTGTCAGCACAGTAAACCGCCAGCAGCTGCCATAGAATCAACGACAAAATTGAACGCATGTCTTTTAATGCAATGTAGCTTATAAATATTTATCTTGAGGATAAATGTAATTTGAATTTTGGTCGGGATAATGTAGGGAAACTGCGGCCGATGCTACCGAAAATTTAAATAGAACTGCCAGCATTGATATAGACACGTCGTCGTCGTCGGTTGGCTGCTGTTTTTTGGCTGACTCAATCAAATTTTTTCCAGCGGCTATCTTCACGATGTGGCGGCGAAAATAATTTGCGGTACTGCTGAAACATGTCGCACTGTGCTGGATGACAAGACGACGCCTCGATAGCATCGCCAAAAAGAGTTTCAAATTAAACGCACGGTTTGGTTTGGTACCCGGACGGGGCGATGGGTGGGTGGATGGTTGCATCTAACATGAGTAATGGGAATATTATCGCTGATTGACAAAGACAACATAGGAAGCCAAAAAGTCACGAGCAACAGGCAACTGTGCTACACTAAAAACTGTTATACTACCCATTGAAACAACTTGTACTCAAACTTGTTGTCATAGTTGTTCCAATGGAGCGTGCCCGACTAACAGATGCCCTAGTTCCATATAACAGTAACAGTATACTTACTTCTGTTATGCTGATTTGGGAAATTCCAATATTTATCTTCAGGATAAATGTAAAATTGAAAGCATTTTACTGTTTATAAGGAACAAAGAATCATTAATCTGCCCTTAAAGTATCGTAAACGGTCTCTAATTCATATAACATACCTTTGTACAATTCCCAAACACCCTGTTTTTTAAAACATTTTTAATAGGAAACAGGGTATAGTGGCACTTCATTATTAGGCATTTCCGTGAAGGTGAAAAGCAATTAAATAAAAATCGATCGGGAAACAGAAGGACAGTTTGCAACTAACTAACTAACTATGCTACACAATACTTTAGTGGTTCAAACTGTTATACTGTTATATTATTTAGACCGTTAAACTGCTAATGGCCTGCAAAAATAGCTAGCTATACAAACTGTGCTACACAGGAAAACTATGCTATTCTGTTACAGTTGCCTTAACTGTTATACTGTCATGCATGTGAAACCGTTAAGTGCACTGCAATAAAAAGTAGAACTAGTAATGTGAACTGCTTTATACTGTTATACAGTGTTATATAGCATATCGAGTGCAAGTGTTATACTGTTATATTGTCATGCAGCTATTCTTTGACACGCTTGTTTTATTTGCCATATTTTTATTACGCTTAAGTCGACTTCTACAAAATTGCATTTGTTTTCAACATTTTAGCAGCAATCGAAATAAGCATAGTTAGTTTTTGTTTTGTGGGCGTGGCCATGGGACGTAAGCACTTTTAAGCTCGCTTTTAAAGTTTTGTTGTTCTTCGTTTTATTTGTTTTTTTTCTTTCTTTTTTCACAAATAGTTGTATGTATTGCTTTGTTAAACTTTTCTAATTGCACATTTAATTAACATTTGTTGCACATTTTTTTTTGTTTTGTTTTTGTTTTTCTCATTTTTCACACTTTTGCTGATTGTTTTGCGTGTTTCGAAAATCATAGTATAAATACATTTTTATTCTAATATATAAGGTTATTGCTTAAGGCGTTCGCATTTGTTGAAACATTTAAACACTGCTAGCGTATTCTTTTAAGATTCCTCCACTCATTCCGTGACATTTTTTTTCGCATATATGTATATATATATAATAGAAAACGTTTTGTTAATAAGTTTAAGTGAATTCGACAGAGTTTTATGCATCCTTTATGCTCTATTTCATTATTTTTTTAATATATATAATTATTTTTTTTTTAGAGTTTTGTATTTTTTTTATAATGAGTTTTGCAACAATAATGCAACTATTTAAGTTGTGTCTACCTAAAAATACACATTCATACAATATAAATATAGTACCATGAAATAATCTGAAGACAAAAGTAAAGAAATGTTGAAAAAGCAGAAAAAGGAGATAATATTTTGTTATATTACAACACTAGCGGTTAAACTTAACGGCAATTTGTTTTACTTTGCCAGGTTACTTCATGGTATCATAAGTATTCATATAAGTACACACAAATATATATATATATATATATATAAATATAATTGTTCGATTATATATATATTCAACATTGCAATGTGAACAATAGAAAATTAAAGGCATTTGGTGAATTCATACACAACATTCAGCTCATCAGGCATTTGCTCAAAGCAAATCAATTACAACTCAATAAAGCCATAAAGCCATTCAACAACTGCCTGGCAAAGTTCATGTTAATTGTATACTGTTTGGTGTTGCCATATCTGTGCAGCGTCCTGCTAGGTAAATGTCAAGTTGCTTGCAAAAACAACTGTGCTCACAATCGAACAAATTGAAGTGAAAATCCTTGATATTAGACACATAACATTTGTGTTCCCCTTTGGCCATTTGCTAGCTGTTAATTGAAATTCGCATATTTGCTTGGACTCAAAGCGATTGCCACTGCGGGAGTGTATCTGTATCTGTATCTGTATCTGTATCTGTATCTGTGTATCTGTGAGTATTTGTATTTTGTATCTGTGTGTGCTGTCACTTACATGTCTAGGGCCTTGGTGGCCTTAAGGGTGGTCGGTGTGGTCTGTGGTGGGTTGGCCTGGGGGCACTTGGGGCTTGGGGGTAGGTTTATAGCGTGTTTTTTTTTTCTTTTACTAACTCAACAATGTCGCTCAGTGGCCACTAGAATATTTACAAAGTAAACGATAAACGTTAACGTTAACTCAACCTAAATGCAACCGCCGCCCGTCCGCTGCCCGCCGCCCGCTGCCCGCCAGCAAACCGTTCAACGCTTCAGCAGCAGCTAAGTGGGCGTGCCAGCAGCAGCCCCAACGCCAGCAGCGCCGCTGACGTCAGCGTCACAGCGGCCGCCCCATTGCAGCGATCCGTCTTGCAGATGTCACAAAAGAACTCCTCCTCGGGCGACTGCTCGCCGGCATCCTGGCCATATCCTTTGCGCCGCTGCTGCTGCTGCTGCTGCTGCTGTTGCTGTTGGTCCCGCTCGCGGCGTCGCTGCCGCTGGCTGCCGCTGCCGTCGCTGGTGATGCGCAGCTTCGAGCGCAATATGTCGCACGCATCCGAGTCGCCGGTGTCCAGCTGACAGAAGCGCGCCGTGACCAGCTTGTTGGTATCAGCTGTGGATGACAAAAAGCAAGAGAAAAAAACTGAGAACATTTAGTCGGATGCAACTGCTCAATACTCTGTTCACAATTTGTTATAACAGCGAAAAAAAAACTGCTAGACGTCTTTTTAGCAGACTATGTCAAAAGTCTAGCCGTTTTTTCTGCGCTACTTTGGAGCCTCCAAAGAAAGAGCATTACACATTTTTTATTCAACAAAATTTGACTTTGTAAAATTATAAAAATAAATAGCAGCCAAAAATTTAAAAAAAAAGTGATATTTTGCGATGTTTTTTTAAAAAAAATTATTCATAAGCTGGCATAGGAAAGTATGATGCACAAGATATATATATATATTTCCCCAGTTTTTTAAGTCTTTTCTAAATATCTTTAAGCAGGAAAAAATAAAATAAAACAACTTAAAATTTGTCTTGTTTTTTAGTTTTTTAAATATATATTTTTTTATATTTTTTTTAATACTATTTATATAAATAAATATATTTATTACTTACGGTCTGTGGCCACCACCTTTTGGCAATTCATCAGCGGATGCTTGTTGGCCCCATTATCGAAATACGAGAACTTGTTCAAATCGAATAGCCAGGTGTCCAGAGATTTCATTTTGTCCAATGTGCATTCCTAGAAACCACAATAATAAATAATGATAAGCCAATATTAGTTGTTTAACGTCTATGGCAAACATTTGTGCAGTGGGCAATACCGCGAACAATGCTTAATGATTGATGATTGATGATTGATCAGACACCCGCCCTTCCGCCGACCCACCCTATGTCTTGGCTTTGTAATTGCACTCTTAATTGCTGCTGCAGTTGGTAGAGTTTATCTTATCAAGCATGCATCGCAATCGTTATCGTTATCGCAATTGTTATCGTTATCGTTATCGCAATCGATGGTGCAACGGCCTTGCTGCACACCAGGCGTTGCCCCAGAAACTAGGGTGATCTAAAGCTCTTATATGGCCTCTATATCAGTTAGCTGGAAATGATTTGATTTATAACATTTTGGATCCAAATTTGGGGTTTCCCCCATTAAGCTTACTTTGACATGGTTTACTTTCTTCATTACTTGCATTACTTTAAATTTAACTTTATTTCGAACTGTTGGTATATTTGACACTAACTGATATTATCTGACCTTTTCCTAGTTTGTTGCTTCAAATTTTAGACATAAATTCTCCACATAACTTCTCCATAAATTCTATTTCGCTCGTGGAAGATTACAATCTATGTATTTATACTATCTTCAACTCCACTTTTTAAGTTCTTATGTATTCAGCCTCTTTTTATAGACATACAAAATATATAAATTGCTAAAGTTAAAATTGAAAAAAATATGAGAATAATTTTTTTAAGCAAAAACCTTGGTTATTGAATGTCGAAAACTAGAAACGAGCCGTGCAATTGTCCAAATTGTTAACCAAATCGCCGACAACTTTCTCTGTGGTAACTTTTAAACACTTTTTGAAAAAGATTAAAGTCTAAAGTTTAAAAGTTGGACCTCATAACCAACAGCAACATTTTATCAGAGGAGGACTACAATATCACATTAATATACAAATATATATAGTATATCTATAGTCTATCAGCTATCAGAGTATTAAATCTTCGCCATTCCGAAGTTAATTCTTCTCTTTTGTCGGTATATTTAATATTTTCTCGATATTTTTTTAAAATAGTTTAAATGCTTTAAGAGCTTCAATTTTATTTCTACATTAATAAGCTTTAAAAAATAAACTTTTCAAGTAAGAAAAACCAGATGTTTGCTGAACAATAATTTTTTCTAAATGGAAATTAGGTTGTAAATTCTCAATAAATAGCGCCAAATAGAACGAATTCCAGTTGTGTTAGGCTGCCAAGTGAAAATGTCTTCATAGAGCTGCTCAAAAGAAAATTTCGCTTGGGTCAGATGGTGAGGGTGGGAAGGGGGGTAGGGAAATGCAATGGAGAGATGCCAACACATTCATTTAACGGTCACAACAATGACGAGTACAGCGACGACGTCGTTTCCGTTTCCGTTTTCCGTTCCGTTCTTTTTTTCAGTTTTCTCTTTTATTCTTCTTCTAGAATTTATGTGCTATGTGCTTTTAAATTTAGTGGCACTTTGATTAAGGTCAACGGGGTCTGATTAGCTGACTGGCACTCGGGGCAAGGGCAAAGGTTAAGCGTATGCCACATGCCATATGCCACATGTGCCGGCCATTATCTGAGATTTGTTTTTATGAAGGGAGGGAGACTTACCTCAGGCACAATGCTCGAGTTCGACTTGAGATCCGCACAGCTGGGATTGTCGCTCGAGTCGCAGACAAAACATTTGATCGCCGCGCCTGTGGGGTATGCAACATGATTCACATTTAACAGATATGTTTTTTTATGTTCCGTTCTTTGATCACAGCTAGCGGCGGGATTTGAACCCGCAACCTAATACTTGGCAGTTCCAAATCAGCAAACTTTTTTATCAATTTTTAACTTGCAGTTATTTTCTAAGTTGAATAATTTTTTCTAAATTTACTTTTTGATAATTCATTAATTGATAGCTTAATTCATTTAGTGGTAGCACTTTTTTCTCTCTATTAGCTAAGGTGTCAAAAGACAGCTTTTGGTTGAAATAGGTATACACAAACCTTTGGCAGAAATAGTGTTAAGCAAACTTAGTATTAGCCAATTTTTTTCAAATAAAAATTCAGATTCATTAACTGAATCTGAGGAATCAGAAACTAGGGCGTTGGTTTGAACCATCAAATCGAACCATCGAGAATTAATTAATTTTTTGTTGGTTTGAAGCCCTGGTATAATGAAATTTGTTGTCCCTTACGGTTACAGTTTTTAATAAAGTTGGAATATAAATTTTTAAATGCCCGAATCAAATAACAATTTCTCTGCCCAAATTTACAAAAAAAGAATTTTCGAACACTTAAATTCATATATCTCCCACAGTTTTAAAAGGAGATTGAATAATTTATTCCCAAGATGATTACGGCTGTCCCAGTCATATTTAATATATAAAATAAATATTTAATTTAATATATATATACATATATATATATATTGTCAAGCATTAGTTTGAAAGTCCCTGCCGAATCGGATTAAAGTTTTCAGGGAAAATCATAAAGCTTTCTATCGAGCTACTTTTTTTTCTAGCTGTGAGCAGAGTATTACGCAGTCGGTAGCACCCGATTGCTATGATTTTCTTATAGTTTAGATTTATTTTATGGTATATTATTTTATTATATTTTTTGATCTATTTTGATTGTTTGATTTAAAATAGTTTTCAACAAATTTAATATATTTAGTACAACATTTTTCAAATCTTTGAAAATACTGAAACAGCACACACACACACACACACGCACACACACACACGGGCGCGTACACACACCTTGTGATATACAGCTTAGGAAATGCAATAGCAACAAAATAGCTGACGACCTCATCAGGCGAAGGCACATTTTCGCACAGCGCTTTTTCCTCTGGTTTTTCCACGCGTCGCTATTCAACACTTTTCGTGTAACAGAACTTTTATATCTTTCTTTATTTTTAATTTATTTGAATGGTATTTAATTTAAGTTTGAATTTATTTGATTTAATTTAAATTTGTTCGATTCTCGTCACGCGTTGAGCTGAGTTCCTCTGGCGCCAGCATTGGCCAATTGCAAACTGTTCGAGGGATTTGGAATTGTGCTGTTGCTGGCGCAAAAGGACGACAAAACGGCGACGTCATCGGCAATAACACGAGCTCCTAAACCGAGCGCCAAACGAAACGAACGATGTGGCAATTCGAGGCGCGTCGCCGTTTCTGGCCAGTGTTGCCAACCACCCGCCAAATCTGGCGGTTTTTTGTTTAGCCTTGCCGAGAATAGACATCTTTATACATAGCTATGCATCCGATGGGTCTGTCTTCTTTTAAGCTTTTATGGTAAGCTCTTTATATATTCTTGTTCAGCATTAACAGCCGAGTCTATATATTCATGTCCGTCTAATTTCTTAGTTTATAGCTTCATCTTTTTGTTCCGGAGAGTACATAAGTTAAAGCTGACTGGAACGGATAACTATATCATACAGCTATCATAGGAGAGTTTAAATGAAAATTATGTTCTAATATTGCCAGCAAATTAATTATCATTAGCCTCATTATTCTAGGAAATTCCTTTCTTTCCAATAAAAATAATTCTAAGTAGGCATATTTAAATTTCCTTATAATTTTGTGGCCAGCTAGAAATTAGCCTTTTACGCTTCCCCTGCTCTGGCAGCTCTGCTTCTGGCCCATTCACATTCCCATTCCCATTGTCCCTGCGCGCTGCGTGGGTGCGTTGGCTCGCCGCGCTCGAGTGGCTTTGACAGTAATAACCTCTTGGCTCCCACATGGCTGCAAGCCACAACGACAACAAAACATGTAGTTAAATTGCAAAATGCAGCCGCATGCAGCTTCTGGCCTCACTCCGACAACAGCTGCAAAAAAGAAAAAAGGAAAACAAATTATTTGGCCAGTTCTCATCAATATGCAACTCAGAACTCATAATGTTTAGGGAACAGACACAGAAGCCGCAACAAAGCGCCGCAATTAGTGGCGCCCCAGAGCAAAAACTCATCCGATTCGCAGCTGTCCTCGGCCTCGGCCACGTCCTCGTCCTCGTCCACTGCGTGGGCGCTTTTATTTATCGCACTCAACATCCTTTTGACTGAGTGCTCCACACACAGACAGTGCGACTGGCAAGAATTTCTAATTTATCATAAACAATGCGGCCCCTGATTGGCATAGGTCGCGGCCCTGGCCAAAACAGAAGCTATACTCAAATAATAATAATTTAAAGGAAAAGGCTGCTGAAGATCAAATACCCTTGCGATAAAGTTAAATATATAACAAAGAAGCTATATGATGTGGAAGTCTGATGTTGATAAGATTTGGGGTATATGTTAGAAGTTTAATGACACTTGGCTTAACTGAGTTTTATTAAGATCTTGGTCTGGAAATAAAAAATTAAAAATTTTACATAAAAATATTATTCTATGGAAGCTAAAGGGGTACCATTAGATTGTTGATTCGATTAAAGCATAAATGTTGTTCATACAAGAATGTCAGCCATATGATAAAGTCGTCAGTTTCGATCGTTTCCAACCTAAGGACGGATCTGTGCTATGTTTAATGATCAAGCAAATAATCGCAAATAAATACTTTATGACTTCGGATATGTCTGCTTCAATGTGTAAGAGTATCAAGCCAGTTTTATGCCCAAGTGCTGGCTAATGGGGTTGCTTGTTTTCAATGTGCAACAAAAAGGGGGACGAGCATCAAAGGAGGTTTCTATTGGCTGGGTAGTCCGATTTAAACGATTCTGATTCATGATTTCGTGTAGTTTGACTGCTTAAAAAAATTGTATATATTTTCCTTATGTCTTGTATGGGAATAATTTATATTTTAATTTATATAATAATAACCAGCTTAAAAGAATTATACAAAAATATTCATGGCATATATTTTGGCACAAAATTTAAAAAGGTCTCACCAATTTATATTAAACTCTGCTAAAAGTATGCTATACAAATTTTTGCTGTGAACCGAATCAAATCGAAAGTGGGAAAATGGAATGCAGTCCAAACGATCCGTTCATTTATTTTTTATTGTCTTCTTATTATTGTCTTTTAAGGTGAATTATTTTCTGCACTTGAAATAATAAGTACAATTAGTTAATACTTATTATGTTTATTATATTATTTGTATAATTTTCTTTACGTGATTTGTTTTTATTTGTGTCACAAAAAGGAGATACTCTATTTTTTGGGACCAGGTCAACTGAATATTTCAAACTCAAAGAGAAGGGAGAACGAGAGAGAGAGAGAGAGGGAGAGAGAAGTAGGGGTATTCCACAAGCGACATGCAAATGAAGACCAACATTAAATCAAAGCTGACCAATTTCTGGCGTCCATTTTGTGCCAAGGTCACATTTGAGCCGCGTCCAGTTGCCAATTGTCGATGGCGTCGACGTCATCGTCGGTTGGGTTGATGTCATCATTTTTGGAGGGGCAAAAACTTGTTTGGCCTTTCATTTATTGCATGTTTTGGTTTCGGCAACATTCGCACCTGTGACGCGACATAATTAAAAATGTTAACGCACGTTGTCATTTCCCTTTCCGTTTCCGGTTGTGCAAAGGTCAGACGCGCCGCTGCCCATAAATTATGCTTTCGATTTTCACAATCTCACAATTTGGCACGCATTATATGCCGAGCATTGCCTCAGTTAGAAGTTTGTCCGATTGATTGACTGATTGACTGACTGACGATCAACGCACAGCACATCTCATATGTGTTAGAAAGCTGCTTTTTTTACATCGTCTACCTTTGTTGACACTCTCTCTCTCTCTCTCTTAGGAAAATTCCACCCGACGGTGAGGAAAATTGGTGGAAAACAATTGTCGATTAGCTTCAAACTTAACAGAGCCGGATAAAATTTGCGAGTTCTAGTATTTTTCCAGTTGCACGATGAAGTCCAAAAAAAAGCCAAAATTAGATATATTACTTAACCGCTTGAGCTGCCATTTCTGTCGATTTCTTATTCTTTTTCTTAATGTACTAAAGGCAATATATTGTTAGAATCGATTGTTGGGGTAATCAAGTATCGAATATATCGATAGGGGCGTTTGTCGATAGTTTCACATTAGCATAGTATACGCAACATTACGTGATAACGACTTAAGGAAGTCGATAACGGCTAAAGAAAATATCGATTTTCGCGAAATGAGGGAGCAGAAACTCCTGATACTCGAAGGATATCGTAATCAGTCTACCTGCTATATTTTACTCTGGATCTATAATCGTGTTATATCCAACTCCGCGCTGTTTACCCGAAATCGATAAATATCGGCTCACAGCAGTGACTTTTTAATCATATCTCGAGGATTTCACTCAAACAAAGCGTATTCTTAAGAGGGCATCTGCTAAACTATACAGTGCATATATGTAATATATATAAAACCATGTGCATTTGTCTTTTAGTTACTCTGCAACTTTCCGACCGCAACACTCTTTTATTTTTAGAATATCCTAAATAAGCTGGGCAACAACAAGCATTACCGTCCCCCAAATACAGCTCAAAAATCTTATCATACCAATGATAAGGAAATATAGTTCTGGTATGCAAATAAAAAGGGGTAGAATGGTTTTGTGCTCACGTATGTGCCAGACTGTAGGAGGCATTTCCGATCTCTAAATATATATATATATTCTTGATCAGGGCGAGTCAGCTGAGTTCATTTAGGCAAGTCCGCCTGTCCATCTGTTCGTCTGTCTGTCTGTCTGTCTGTCTGTCTGTTTGACAGTATGAATGCGTCGATCTCGTAAACTTTTCCATACCTCGTCCCATTTCCAATTCCAACATCGATAAAAATCGATTTTGAGACTTGGTACTTTATGCATAACTTAAAAACTACAAGAGCTAGATACACCAATTTTAGTATGTAGATACAGATTAGGAATATTTCAATTTATGCATTTCCTGATTATTTTAAAAGCTTGTTTCTAAAGCCAAAGCCTTATAAGCATTCTAACGTTCATATTTTATGATTTATTAAATCCAAAGCACGGTGCTTATTACCAACATATTATATTAAGTGAGGGGTACAGGAGATTTTGTAGTCGAGTCAACTTTTGTTTAAGAATGTTTTAAATACGCTTATCGCTTAAATTCGACATATGTTTCTTACGCGGGTAACTTACTTGACGTTTTGATTTAACGCCCCTTTAATCAGATAATATTAATAATAATCACAAATTCGTTAATTAGTTTCATTTCTAAAGCGCTTAATATTAGTTTCTGTTGTGTGAGAACATTTGATGAAGTTTTGCAAATATTTGTAACAAGTAGAAAAAAGCATTTTCGGTCCATAAAATTTATCATTGGCATTAAGAATTTAATATTCTGTCCACTGTTTAAGGGCCCTTCTATTAGGGGAAATTGGAATATCAAAATATATCGGGGTGCGAAAGAAAGCTGTTCTTATTATTCTAAATTGTTTGCTTAGTCCTCCCTAAGATATACTTCAAATATTTGGTGATTCTCTTGTCGATATATAAATAACATATACATATATCGATATATTGTAGGGTTGCACTTCCCAATTCCTTCCAATGCCTGTGATCGATAAATTGCAAAACATTGATTGATTCGCTCAACTTGTTTATGTCAGTTTTCTTTGGTGAGGGTAGATTACGCGACGTTGTTGTTCCACGCTTGTCTTATCTTTAGTAAAAATGACCAGTAATTAGTCATTTAACTTTTTCTATAAAGCGTTTAATATTTATTTCTATTGTGAGAATTATGGCCACGGCGGAGGATATAGATGCAAAGAATATTTCTACAACACAAAAGGTAGGACTACTGTTGACCTATTCAGCTTTTCAAGTAACTTGCTTTTTTTGAATTGATATATTTTCGATCATATTGTACAATATTTCATTGATCGTCATTTATAACAAAGAACAAGAGAAATTAGCCACTCATCGACTTCGTTTTTGGTCGGGTAATCAGGGAGGCAAGAGAGTCAGAGGCATCGGCGAATTTTATTTATGTGTTTACAAAATTTATACCATTTACCAATTTCTTAGATTCCAGCTCTAAATAAAATATTCTCAACTTTACCTCATATAGAAATTGGGTGCTGGAGGCTATGGTTTGGTCTTTGAAGCAAGATGGAAGAACAGGAAAGTAGCCGTCAAGAAATTAATTGTAAATTCAGAGGACAACGCGAAACTAATTAAAGAGTTAGACAACTTAGCGCGCTATAACCATGAGAATATTGTCGTATTACTCGGCAAAACAACGATTGACTCTGTACTTCACATTGTCATGGAGTATGCGGACTGTGGATCCCTCGATTACTATCTACACAATAAGGAAAGCAGATTGAAAAATATGACATATTTGGCACTTCACAATCTGATGTTTCAGTGCGTCAAGGTGGGTTCCTTCTTAATTGATGATTATTGATGATATAATAAAATAGTTAATCTCACACTTTTGAAATTCTAGGCAGTTGAGTATCTGCATAATCAGACCCCAACAGTTCTTCACCGGGATTTGAAGCCGAACAATCTGCTACTTTTTGACGATTATCGTACCTTGAAAATATGTGATTTCGGTACAGTAAGAGAAATTGCTTCAAATATGACGAGTAATGTTGGCACTTCCGCTTACATAGCACCAGAGGTTTGTATTTTTCAATTAAAATATAGTTGTTGATATACCCTGTACCTATTCATTTAATCTTAATCAGCATCAACAGCCAAGTGTGTCCATCCGGCTGTCTGTCTGTTTGTCCATCTGAATGAATGCGTCGAAAACACATTTTAGCCAATATCCAATGTTTGTTGCGGAACTGGGTACAGGGTATTTTCTAGTCGGGTACTCTCGTTTAACAACACAACTCACTCTAACTCAACATTACTCTTGCAAGCGCAGGTTCTCGAAGGGAAAAAGTACACGGAGAAATGCGATGTCTACAGCTTTGGCATTATACTATGGGAGGTAATGTCACGGAAGAAACCTTTTCATCACCTGGAAAACCCAGCTCCTGAATCCATTAATTATTTATCTGGGCAAGGTGAGTAAGTTAACAAAATAACGAACAATTTATTTAAATTAAACTGATACAGGAAAGCGACCGGATTTGAATGAGATAAAGAAGTATGAAAATCGAAGGACCATTATAAACTTGATTGAACAATGTTGGCACAAAGACCCAAACAAGCGGCCAACAATGCAAATGTTGTCTCTTTTTCTTGGCATTGATTCTTACACCATTAGACCATTGCCATCTACATCTGACGATGATTATCAATATTGAAGTGAAGAGGAATCCTAGAAAACCAGAGCCCAGAGTTCTACGTAAAACAGTGGGGATTGCAAATGTAAATTATATTTCATAAAATGTAACTTTAAATAAAAAATTATTATCTTAAGGCTTAAAGCTCTTAAGCGACGCATTGTATGGTGAGGTATAAAAAAGATTGTGGCCCTTAAAAACCTGAGATGCATAATTTCAGATAACAATGAGAATGACAACATTGATTATGGGTCAATAATTTTTGGCGTGACCCACATGAGAATATGATCAGATTATGCGGCATTGTCTGGGATGACAGTTCTGCAGCTTACCTTGTCAGGAAGTATGCTGAGTGTGGATCCCACCATGATCCCTCCCTTAATTACTGCTACAACATAATGGAAAAAGTTGGTGTCATAACAAGCACTTTGATATCGCATTTTCACAATATGGGAGTCGAATACCTATATAATCTGTGTCGGGTGTATCTAATCACGTTCGCGTTAATGATGCAAGCTATTTCGATAATAATCGATTTAAAGCTTCATATTTGAGCATGTCTTAGATATATATATATACATATATCGATATATTGTACGGTTGCATTTCCCAATTCCATCTAATAACTATGATAACGCTTGTCTTATCTTTATTTAAATTGACCAGTAATTGGTCATTTAATTTTTTTTCTAAAGCGTTCAATATTTAATTCTATTGTGAGAATTATGGCAAAGGCGAAGGATATAGATGCGAACGATATTTCCATAACACAAAAGGTAGGACTACTGTTGAGCTATTCAGCTTTTTCAATTTTAAGCAATTTCCATTAATTAGACAAGTTAATTAATTTACGTAATTTGTTTTTTTTTTGAATTGATATATTTTCGATCATATTGTACAATATTTCATTGATCGTCATTTATAACAAAGAACAAAAGAAATTAGCCACTCATCGACTTCGTTTTTGGTCGGGTGATCAGGGAGGCAAGAGAGTCAGAGGCATCGGCGAATTTTATTGATGTGTTTAAAAAAGTCATACTATTTACCAATTTCTTAGATTCCAGCTCTAAATATAATATTCTCAACTTTATCTCATATAGAAATTAGGTGCTGGAGGCTATGGTTTGGTCTTTGAAGCAAGATGGAAGAACAGGAAAGTAGCCGTCAAGAAATTAATTGCAAACTCAGAGGACAACGCCGAACTAATTAAAGAGTTGGACCATTTATCGCGCCTTAAACATGAGAATATTGTCGTATTACTCGGCAAAACAACGAAAGACTCTGTACTTCACATTGTCATGGAGTATGCGGACTGTGGATCCCTCCATTACTATCTACATGATGAGAACAGCAGATTGAAAAATATGACATATTTGGCTCATCACAAGCTGATGTTTCAGTGCGCCATGGTGGTTTCCCTCTTGTTGATGATATAATAAAAAAGTTAATCTCACACTTTGACAATTTTAGGGTGTTGAGTATCTACATAATCAGAAGCCAAAAGTTCTCCACCGCGATTTAAAGCCGAACAATCTGCTACTTTTTGACAATTATCGTACCTTGAAAATATGTGATTTCGGTACAGTAAGAGATATTGCTTCAAAAATGACGAGTAGAGTTGGCACTCCCGCTTACATAGCACCAGAAGTTTGTATTTTTCAATTTAAATATAGTTGTTGATATACCCTGTACCTATTAATATAATCTTAATCAGCATCAACAGCCAAGTGTAGCCATCCGTCTGTTTGTGTGTCTGTCCATCTGAATAAATGCGTCGAAAACACATTTGAACCAATATCCAATGTATATTGCGGAAATGGGTACAGGGTATTTTCTAGTCGGGCACTCTCGTCTAGAGCATGCTCTAAGACAACATTACTTTTCCAAGTGCAGATTGTTAGAGGTGAAAGGTACACGGAGAAATGCGATGTCTACAGCTTTGGCATTATCCTCTGGGAAGCAATGTCACTGAAGAAACCTTTTCATGATCTGGAAAATCGAAATGAATTCGCCATTAATATGTTAACTGCCAGAGGTGAGTAAGTTAACAAAATAACGAACAATTTATTTAAATTAAACCGATACAGGAAAGCGACCGGATTTGAATGAGATAAAGAAATATGACAATCGAAGGACCATTATAAACTTGATTGAACAATGTTGGGACCAAGACCCAAAGAAGCGGCCGACAATGCAAAATGTGTCAAAGGTTCTTCTCAGCGTTACACAAAAGGTAGGACCACCGCAGAGTTATTGAGCTTTTTGAATATCTGTTGAATTTGCAATTTTTCTCAATATCTGTTAATTATGCAATTTCTATTATTATTAGTCATTAATTAGACAAATTATGTAATTTACGTAATTTGCCACTCATCGACTTCGTTTTTGCTCGGGTTTATATCTCGCTCTCTTAGTCAGAGAGCGATATGAATTGTGTGATAGATCGACATCGGCGACTTTTGTTTGCTTCCACTGACTTGGCCTATTCCTAGTGCTCTTTCGTTAACGCTACGTAAATAAATGGCGATTGGAAATACTTACTAAATACTTAACAACATTAATTATTATAATAATTCATGTTTATGTGTATACCATCTACCAATTTCTTGGAATCTATCTCTAAATATAATATTCTCAACCTTACCTTACATAGAAATTAGGTGCAGAGGACAACGCGAAAAAAAAAATTGACTTTGTAATTGACATTGGATCCCTCGATTACAATCTAGATGATGAGAAGAGGATATTGAACCATATTGCATGTTTGGCTCTTAGCGGTCTGATGTTTCTTTTGAGTATGCATATGATGAAGCGCCTATGTGGGTTCCCTCTTGTTGATGATATAATAAAATAGTTAATCTCACACTTTGACAATTTTAGAGCGTTGAGTATCTACATAATCAGAAGCCAAAAGTTCTCCACAGCGATTTGAAGCTGAAAAATTTGTGCAGGGTGAGTAAGTTAACAAAATAACGAACAATTTATTTAAATTAAACTGATACAGGAAAGCGACCGGATTTGAATGAGATAAAGAAGTATGAAAATCGAAGGACCATTATAAACTTGATTGAACGATGTTGGCACAAAGACCCAAACAAGCGGCCGACAATGCAAGTGTTGTCTCTTTTACTTGACATTGATTCTTACACCATTAGACCATTGCCATCTACAATATTGAATATAATATTGAAGTGAAGAGGAATCCTAGAAAACCAGAGCCCAGAGTTCTACGTAAAACAGTGGGGATTGCAAATGTAAATTCTATTTCATAAAATGTAACTTTAAATAAAAAATTATTATCTTCAATTTTAAGCAATTTCCATTAATTAGACAAGTTATGTAATTTACGTAATTTGTTTTTTTTTGAATTCATATATTTTCGATCATATTATACAATATTTCATTGATCGTCATTTATAACAAAGAACAAGAGAAATTAGCCACTCATCGACTTCGTTTTTGCTCGGGTGATCAGGGAGGCAAGAGAGTCAGAGGAATCGGCGAATTTTATTTATGTGTTTAAAAAAGTGATACCATTTTCCAATTTCTTAGAATCTATCTCTAAATATAATACTCTCAACCTTAACTCATATAGAAATTAGGTTCTGGAGGCTCTGGTTTGGTCTATGAAGCAAGTTATATTAACAGGAAAGTAGCCGTCAAGAAATTAATTGTAGGGCCAGAACAGGACGAGAAATTGAAGAAAGAGTTAGACATTTTATTGTGCCTTAGACATGAGAATATTGTCGAGCTAATTGGCAAAACAACGATTGAATCTGTACTTCACATTGTCATGGAGTATGCGGACTGTGGATCCCTCGATTACTATCTACACAATAAGGAAAGCATTGAAAAATATGACATATTTGGCACTTCACAATCTGATGTTTCAGTGCGCCAAGGTGGGTTCCTTCTTAATTGATGATTATTGATGATATAATAAAATAGTTAATCTCACACTTTGACAATTCTAGGCAGTTGAGTATCTGCATAATCAGAAGCCAACAGTTCTCCACCGCGATTTGAAGCCGAACAATTTGCTACTTTTTAACAGATATCGTACCTTGAAAATATGTGATTTCGGTAAAGTAAAAGAAATTGCTTCAAAGATGACGAGTAGTGTTGGCACTCCCGTTTACATAGCATTAGAGGTTTGTATTTTTCAATTTAAATATAGTTGTTGACATACCTTGTACCTATTCATTTAATCTTAATCAGCATCAAAAGTCAAGTGTAGCCATCCGTCTGTCTGTGTGTCTGTCCATATGAATGAATGCGTCGAAAACACATTTGAAACAATATCCAATGTAAATTGCGGAAATGGGTACAGGGTATTTTCTAGTCGGGTAGTCTCGTTTAACAACACAACTCACTCTAACTCAACATTACTCTTGCAAGCGCAGGTTCTCGAAGGGAAAAAGTACACGGAGAAATGCGATGTCTACAGCTTTGGCATTATACTATGGGAGGTAATGTCACGGAAGAAACCTTTTGATCACCTGGAAAATCCAAATTCTTTCACTATTGAAAAGTTATCTGCGAATGGTGAGTTAATAAATAAAATACCCAACGGTCTAACTAAATGATACCTGCACAGGTGTGCGACCGAAATTGGAAGATGTAATGGAGTGCGATAATATGAAGATCATTAAAACGTTGATTGAAAAGTGTTGGGCACACGATCCAAGCAAGCGGCCAGCCATGAGCAGGTTGTCTCTTTTTCTTGGCCGTAATTATTACGGGACTGGTGATTACTCGGAGCCTTTGCCGCCTACGTGTGATGCTGATTATCAATATCGAATTGAAGAGATGTAAGATTCCACAGATCTCCGAGGCGTACAACTATTATGCTAGGCGATTACTCAAACCCAAATCTGAACAAATACGTGAGACAGCTAAAACAAACAAAAATAGATCCGGATCCGAAATTTTAGATATACCATTTCCACCTACTTTTCTACCCGCACTTTATTGAACCCCACGTATATTATAAAAAATAAATAAAAATCTTTTTAAAAGGGGAAGCTTCCCAGCATCTGCAGTCAAGACTCAAACTTATTGAAGCCTGCTTTCTTCGTTGAAAAATCAAAGTAAACGCCCTAAAGATCGGTTCAAATAATCTCCTCGATAAAGCCAAACTAAAACCTGTGTGGATATATGCTAGCAACTCCAATATCGAATTTATTTAGCGCTATAAGTCAAAAACATTGCGATCCATAGTAAATGCTCCTTCCTAAATCTCTAATGCAGGCATACACAAACTCCTTATGTAAATGAAGAAATAGGTAAAGCTAGTGCAAAATACATTGATAGACTTCACAACAACCACAATAACCTAGCCTTAAATTTAACAGATAATAGTCTAGCAGTAAGAAGACTTAAAATAGTGCATATTCTCGATCTCCCTCAACATGTAAAATAAGTCAAATAAAGTAGTAGGTTTCACTAGAAACTTTCTAATCCTGTTAATTTGTTTGTTTTAAGACAGAGTGAATTTTAAATAAAATGTAAAAGTAAATAAAATAAAAAATAAAACCAATAAAGAATCTTAACTTAGAATCTTGAAGCCGAAAATTTAATATTCGTTCAAGTCTCACATGAATTTTCATAAAGATCTTGAAGAAAATATATAAATATAAAAATATTACCCACCAAATCATTTTGATCCCCATAATTTGGTCAAATCTCACCCGATTTTCACGAAGTTTGGCACTTTGGCCTCTAGATCAATTAAGCATCTAAATCTGGCAACAGAATACTTGGTCAACATAATGAGCATTATGATAAGGTTCAGTCTGCAAGGGTATTAAATCTTCGGCTTGCCGAACGCAATGCACAAATTTAAATAAATAAATAAAGTCGAAAATTATCGTAATCACATACGAGCACCTGCATATCAGTTCGATTTATGCTTTGAAAACCAAGCCCGAAAATCGATATTTATCGATATTGTTAAAAAGGCCAGAAGATATCGACAAAAAATGATGAACACTCTTTGCGTATGATATACAAGAAAATATACTTTTAATTTCGAGTCTCTGGCCCTCTATAGTTCCGAGGACATGCACTATACTCCTTTAACCCATTTGCAATGGGTTCAATGTCCTTCAAAACACCAGAAAGTAACGCCCAATTACCAAGAATACCCAAGAAATCAGCCACATGTAACAAAACGCCAACAACATGGGGCGATGTCTCACATAGAATTGAAAATCAATTTTTCTTCATGTTGGCGCCAAAGAGTCCACGAAAATAAAATAAAGACCCACTAGCTGGGCAAATCTATTTGTGGGCGGGCAGAGTCATGAAGTGGTAGGTGGAACTGTGGGCGGCACACAAGCGGAAGCCTCGGATGCTCTAGCCGGATGAGGGCGACAGGCTGGCGGCAACAAACGCACACGCAGCCACATCCACAGCCACATCGACGTCCACAATCATATTCTCAGTCACATTCGCAGTCACAGACAGGACAAAAGACTCTGCGAATAGCTAGTTGGACTGGCGACAAAAGCAACTCTGGGATATGTAACGCATGTAGGTCGCTTCAATGTACAGTAAAACCTCTCCTAAGTCGGAACATCATTGTTTTTTGTAAATTCATTAAAAACGAGCTACATTCTTTGAAATCCACCCATATTCCACGCATGAAATTTGAAAAATTCAGTGAAACCTCCCCCAAGTCGAAGTATCATTTGTAAAACAATTATAAACACATTGTTGTTTGAAAATTGATTAGAAACGAGCTACATTCTTTGAAATCCACCCATATTCCACGCATGAAATTAGAAAAATTCAGTGAAACCTCTCCTAAGTCGAAACATCATTTGTAAAACAATTATAAACATATTGTTGTTTGCAAATTCATTGAAAAAGAGCTACATTCTTTGAAATCCACCCATATTCCACGCATGAAATTAGAAAAATTCCCCCAGCGTATTTGTAACTGAGTTTTTTAAAACCTATGAAATATATATTTAATGCATTTTTTATATAGAGCTTTAAAAAAAGTTCTGGGACAGTATTAAAGTATTATCCCATTGTTCCTACAATAAGTTTCTATAGATAATATTTTGCAGATATGTTCGAAACATAGGGAAGCTCATAGATGCCAAGTTTGGCAGAAAAATCTTAAACTCCAAAAAACTGTGTACGGCCAATGAGAATGTCCGCTCGACGAGCTTTCACTGTATATAGCTGTGTATCTGTGTAGTTGGCAATAAAAATAAAAGACTAACAAACGGCAGCAAATGTTACGAGATGTTAAAGCCCGTCAAGTGCGTGGAGAAACAACAATTTGTGTGCCTTTGGCCTAATGGCAATGGGTCAGCATCTCGTCCTTGCCCTGCCACACAAAAACAACAATTTGTGCTTCCCCTGGCTCCACAATAAAATGAATGAACAAATAGAATAAAAAAGTTATGCTACAAGGCTGTCGCCGACCAAGCCACAAAACAATTGTGCAGACATTTTGGCATCAGCTGGATTCCTTGAGGAAAGCTTAAGCATACCCCAACATAAACCAAAATATCGATTTTATGCTACAAAAATTTAGCACTATTTTAAAGTACATTCAATTTGTTTTTCGGCTTGAGGGTCGTTTTCCCTTTGGTTGAGTTTAAATTAATTTGTATAAATAATATATGTATACTAGCGGGTATAACCCGGCCTTGCCCGTGGAACGTATGTTAAAAATCAACGTTCTCAAAAAGCTTTGAATATGATTTTGAAACTTATTGGACGGTAAACAAAAAACTTTCATATAACCGTTTTCCGCCAATTTACTACTGTTGCGAGTGGAATTTCCCAATTCGCTGATATACGTATTCATTAAGTTCTTATGGAGAGCTTTGAAAATAAGCTCGAAGCAAATCGGACACAACTTAAAACTTCGCACAAAAAATCTTTGAGTCGCATTCCACCCGAGAAAGTTTGGATTCTGCGAAAAGTGTGAAACACGTCTCAAATGATTTATCTTATAGATCTCTGGAAATTAATTTGAGCGCGAAACGTCACCCACCAAATCTTTGACCTCCATTTCCACCAAGGAGGAATGGATTTTCCTAAAAGTGTGAAATATCCCTCAAATGAATTTGAACAAAGATCTTTGAAAATAAGTTTGAGGCCGATCCGATGGTGAACAAAAAAGTTACATACAAACGTTTTTCGCGATTTTTCCACACTTGCGGATGGAATTTCCCGATACCCCGTCTTAACGTGCACCTACATCACATAAGGTAGCTACAGAGAAAATTTCAGCTTCCTAGCTCTTACGGTTTGGGCTGTGCGTTGATCACCAATCAGTCAGTCAGTCAGTCAGTCAGTCAGTCAGGACAAACAGTTTTATATATAGAGATGTATATATATACCATATTAAGGTCCGGGTACAATATATTCCCAACTTTATTTCCGACCTATTGTGTCTATAGGAGACATATGACATTGCAGACCGATTTAGAACAGATGTATTAGGAGAAATGTGAAGCTTGTAATTCCAGAATTTGTTCAATAAAAAAATGTTTTCCATTTTGCATATATGCAAAGAGCTTTCTTAAACTAATCAATGCCAAGTTTGATCAAGATACATTAAAGAAAAAATGGATTTCCCTGCTAGAACTTAATTTTCGACCGATAATTCGCATCTTAGCTATATGGATATGGTGGTTCGATCCAGCCGATTTCGACAATATGATCTATCAGAAAATTAAAAGCGAATATATAAGAGAAAAGTTTAACAAATTAAAATACCCTCTAAAAATCTATAAAAAATATTGACTTCCGGGTGCGAAAGGCAGTTCGAAGGCGTGATCCTAAAGTTCGGCTTCAGATCTACATATTTTCTAGACAACAAATGAGAAAAGGTCAAAAATGTAGTAAATTAGTCGTATCTTAGTTTTTGTATAATTATTAAATACAAATTACAAATACAAATAACATATTTTAACTCTGCGAAGCAGCTGCGCGAAAAGATATTAACGTAAGACTTATGATATTGCAAGATATTTGATTAGATTGGAACTCAAATCTTTGCTCTAGATGGATGCACTTCAGCATCAGCGTCGCAGGACACAGCCCAGGGCAGTGAGCAGGCTGAGAGCCAGGACCAGGGCTGAACCAGGGCCGGTTAATGCAGGGGCGCCATTGCAGCCCTCCTCGCTGCAGGTGCAAACGATTTGCTTGTAGCCCTCGTTGTCCGCCGTAAAGCAGGCATTATGCGCCTTCTCCTGTATCCAGCCGCAGCTGCGCTCAATGCGATGCTCATCGTTCACCTCCAGCTTGATGATCGTCTTCCGGCAAAACGCCTGCTCCTCCCCTTTGGGCTCACAATCGAGCAGATATTGCTCATCCCGCTGGGCACGCGGCGTATTCACCACCAAACTGGCGCAATCCTCGTTGTCGTGGGAGTTGCACTGATGACACCGCAAGCCCGAAACTGCATAAACAAATGAGAAAGGTTGTGCGAATTAATACTCAAATTCAGGCATACTCTAATTTAGAGGGGATTCTCTGACCAAAAGATAGCCTAGGCTCAGCCTGCCCTTACAATCATATCAACTGCTTTCCTTATGTATATATAGAGACATGCTCTTAACGAGAATTAATATTCAAATCAATCCTGAGATCAACTAATAGTAATCTACTCTGGTCGGGAGTGCCTGACTGGGAGATACGCTGCCCGTATAATCACTCGAGCTGCCTTCTTTATATATAAGTATACACACAAGCACTAAATAGGAATGGGAATGGATAGAGAATTAGAAGTATTCGAATCAATTTTTAAGCCAAAAACAACCAAGTGTACTCTACTCTAGGCGGGAGTGCCTGACTAAGAGATACCCCGCCCTTACAATCATTCGAACTGCCTTCTTTTCTCTATTAAGCCTCTAATGTGTTCCCTATTAACTTCGCTGTACAATGAGATAGATCAATTATAAATTTTTCAGGGCATATATATGACAATCGAGTGTTTAAATTTTAAAGTCCAAGCCTTAAAATCTAATATTTATTTACCGATAAATGTAATATATTTAAAAGTATATATGATGTATATTAAAAA